GGAGTTCAAAATTTGTAGATACTTACAGGCATATGCAGAACAGATAAACAAGATTATACTGTATAGCACAGGGAAATATATACAAGATCTGGTAGTAGCTCACAGTGAAAAAAAATGTAACAATGAATACATGTATGTTCATGTATAACTGAAAAATTGTGCTCTACACTGGAATTTGACACAACATTGTAAAATGACTAAAACTCAATACAAAATGTTTAAAAAAAAAGTCCTTGGAATGCCTTTCTCTCTGCTAGATTGGATACTGTCTGATTGGAATCAATTTTTGCTCAAATAAACTCAACATTTTTAATATTCCTCAATTTTTCTTTTAGCAGTGACAATAATAGAAGGCTAAGTGTGAAGTTTGATTAGATCCTGGACTGAGGAGGGAAAGGGTTCTAAAAGACATTTGAGGAAAATTCGGATAGAAAATATATCTTAGAATATGTATTAAATTATTTTTAAGTTTCTTAGATGTATTTATGTGTGCAACTTACTTTCAAAGCATTCAGAAAAAAGATAACAGAAAGCAAGAGAGCAAGGTAAAGAATACATGAGGAAAATGTAATAATTGTTGGATCTTGGTGAGGAAAACGCTGGCATTGAATGAACTAGAACCTTTTTGTAAATGTGAATCCTTCTCCCATAACTGGGCTTTTACGATTGCAGTTGAACATTTTAGACACAAGGTGGCGATAGACTCACATTTGCATTTGTATGAGACACTCCGGTGAAAGGAGTGGTCAGGAAGGGAAAAAAAAAAAAAATTCTTGACCTAACATCCTCAAAGGCTACTCTAGGAGGAGCAATGTGTGAAAATCCTGGAAGGCAAAAGCCACTGTGAAAATTCACACTACAGCTGGGTAGTTAATATTCAAGTAGGCACGCTGCAAAGTGTTAGAAATTCAAATAGGAAGAAGCAAGGACGGCCCTTTGCTTCAGGAAGAAACCTCGCTTCCAGTCCTGGCCTCACCAGTGTCTAATTCTGTGACCTTACTCAGGGCGATTATGAGTAGCTCTCGCGTGTAAAATGAGGAAACTATCTGAACAAAAACTTGGAAAGCAATTTCAGCCGGAGTTGGAATTCCATTTAGAGGTCATGCGTATTAGCGGTTTTAGCTGGGAAATTCTTAGCCATGCCAGCAAGTCACCTGAAGTAGAACGTTGAAAATTTCCAACGAAGCACAAAGGATAAATACAGAACACACTCTGATTCTGCAGCGTCCCAATGTTTATTTTGAAAGGACCTTAAGGGATTGTTTTGAGAAACCATAATTTGCTTCTTGTACCTGGGTGATCATCTTTGGGTTCTGGCCCCGTCAGTGGGTCACCTTCTAACAAATCATTCTATGCTGCTTGTATTTTATTTGAAAAATGGCCCTTCTGGAAAAAGTGCTCTTGGAACTCAGCCATCCTGCCAAGGTTCCAGGCAATCAACAGCCATATGCATGTGAGAAAGGCTTTGAAGTAACTCCAGCTCCTGTCACCATCTCACTCTGCACCAGAAACCCAAGCAAGAAGCACCTAGGTAAGAGCACTCAATAAACAGATCTGATTTTATATTTATTTATTTATGTGTTCAGAAAATACTTACTGAGCATCCACGAAGTGCCAGAACCATGCATTGGTTAGCAATATGACGAAGCTTCTTGATCTGGTGGAGTTCATATTCCCATGGAAAGATCCCCATAATGATAGCAATAGTGTTATTAAAATACTAACAACCATAATAAAATAATAGACAAATATATAAATTATCCAATGTCATATATTATGAAATAAATAAACAAGATGTTTGCAAAAGGATAGAATGGATAAATCTCTTCTGATTGATATGCAACTTTTTTCCCCCTGCTTTGTTCTGTTTTGCCTGGTTGGAAGGGAGCAAGTATAGCCAAAATCAAACCAACCAACCCCCACCCCAAATCAACCAAAAATACCAGTTGAGTCCACAAGAGGGCGTAATGGGGTTCACCACAAACAAACGGAGATGTAAACTTGTATGTAAACTTTAATTGGCTACCAAGGGGTAAACTAAAGGTTATGTCCACCAGACGAGGTCATGCTAGTTCCTTCATGATTTTATAGGTGTTTAGAACTTAAAATTATTTTTTATAATTATCTTTTTTACTTGTACTTCTGGATTTTCCTTTCCCAAGCTGCTTGGTATGAAAGTCAAAAGTTACTCTTGTTTACCCATACCTGCATCCTAAAGGAAAAGAATCTGATTGCTGGCTGCCCATACATCTGTGGATTGGAAGCAGTGGTTAAAAAAAAAGGTAGGCGAAGGCATACAGAATGTTTTATTTTTAGATTTTCCCTTCCATAAGTGTTTTTCCATGATACTTTAACCCACACTGTGCACATTCAAGAGCTCTGTGGGGCAGAAAGGTAAAACAGAAAGAAATGGACTTCAAGTTCAAGCACATAGAACAGAAAATAAACAGAAGGAATCTCTCTGGTCCAACTTCAAGGTCCATTTAACACAACATAGATTGACCATTACTCTATTACTCTTATTAGCTCATTAAATTAAATTAAATTAAATTAAATTCTCTTCCTTTCATTGTTCTGTCTTGGTACATACCCATCTCTAGCCAGGAGAGGAATGGAACCAGCTTTACAGTCATGGAAACAACAAATTATAATGCAGCAAAGGAGACACTAAATCTTACTTTAGAAAAGGGGGAAGAAATAGATGAAACATTTTGAGACGAGAGATTTGAGGAACCATCCAGAAGGAAATTAACATTTGATTCAAGCCCCCCACAATCACTAGGTTTTTTTCTATGCAGAGAGCAAAGGGGTTGTGGGGAAAGAGCGTCTTACGCTTGTGGGACAACCATGAAGTCATGCAGCGTCAGGACGTGTTTGGAGAACGGTCAGGAGTCAGCACCCGGAGCCTGAGCTGTGCAGAGGAAAGGAAGCTGGCAGGTCTTGACTAACACAGGAAGCTGACATGACTTGGAGTTGCAGTCAAGAAACACTGACACAAACACTGCAGCCAAAACTTTCCCCTTGAGGTAGAGGGGTGGGTATAGCTCAGTGGTAGAGCACATGCTTAGCATGCACAAGGTCTTGGGTTCAATCCCCAGTCATGCCATCAAAAAAAAAAAGAAAACTTTCTCTTAGAGCTAATGTTTTTTTAATCTGCCTAGAATATGGTTAGACACGCCTTCCCCATGAAATAGCATCTTGTTAGTTTGAGTTTCTGAGATGATCTCAGCAGTATCAAGGGTAAGTTTACTTATCTAAGACTGCACGCACCAGCAAATGACAGTGACAGAAACTAACGTCTTGGGCTTGGTTTCATGGTAAAAGTTTCTAACAGATGTGTGTTTTAAGGGTGCTTGATTCCAGATCTACCAAGCATGAGAGAAGGAAGACTCCGTATTTGGAAAAAATTCTGGACTAACTGGATGGACTTAGCTTTATCCTGATCTGCCTCAGAAGGTTGATTTTTAACATCATTCGAAAGAGGTAGGGATGTATGTTGTCAATGTGGGAGTTTTTTTTTTTTTAAGATTTCTCTTCTTTACAGATCTTTTCCCCCAAAGTTACAAAATGCTTCAAAATCTCACTTTTATCCTATATTATTTGGTGACAATACTCTTATCTAGAATGCTTTTATAAATAATTTATTTCCTAAGTAATTGGCACAAAATGAATTATACTTTGAATTTTTGATATGTTCAAAATTTTATATTAACAAGTATTATATATCAACATGCATGGGAAACAGGAATTAAAATTTTATTTTGGTCCATCCGTTAGAAACTTTTACATGAAAGTTAAACGCAAACTTCTGGAAGATTTACAATAGTTAGAATTTTGTGTTAGTTTATTTTGTACCATGAAATGCACATTAAGCCATTCTCACAGTATAGAGAGTTAAAATTACAGAGACCTGAAGTGGAAATTAAAGAAATGGAGAGGGACCTGTATTGACGGGACGCAACACATACTTTATTTCTGACAGCACTTCAGTTCTTTTTGGCAGATCCATTTAATTTCTGCATCACAGTTCTCAGAAAGAATTTGTGAGTATGAGATGTAAACACAGCTGTTTTCTTTAGCATCACCAGTGATTTGCAATCTGTGGAGCAAAAGGAAAGCTTCTCCTTAGTGTTTGTGGTTCTCACACAATTCTCCTCCTCCAGCCTGTATTTTCTATAACGCAATTATTAAACATGGAATAAGTACACAGTCATGAATATAATGATATAAACGTTTAATGTAAAGCTAATAGCAACCTCTGGAACTTGAAAACCCAGCGTCTCTGAAAAAGAATTGTTCTAACAAGACAAGTCATAATGATATATTCAAAAGAGAAGCTTTGGAAACTGAGAATTGAATCTCATTCTACTATTAACATGTCACGTGGAAAGTTATCTTAAATACGCAGGATATAACCGCCTGATATTTGGGGAGGCATTGAGATGTTGCGCGTGAAAGCACGCTCACGCGTAAACAAAGGACGTGCTCAGTAAATGTAATGAGCACACAGAGGGTGGTGCACACGCAGGGTCTCCAGAATGTGAACGTGAGCCGGAAAAAGAGGCTCACTTCACGTAGTATGTAGACGGAGGTTCCTTTTTCTTCCCATCCCAAGTGGTTGGTGGGTGTCTGTTGCAATATATATACCCTTAGTTCCAAAGAAGCAAGAGTCCTGTGGTTCGCTGTGGTGGGGGTGGGGAGGGGGAGGGGGCAGTAGAGGTCGCACAATAGGATGGCAAGTTGGGGCCGGGTGCCGGGAGGGGGTGAGTGCAAGACATCCACCTGTTGTCTCAGACAGAAAACAACCTGGTGGCAGCGGTCCATTTTCTTTCTTTCTTTCTTTCTTTTGAAAAGGCATCCTTTATTCCTCTCTTTTTTTGTCCCCCTTATTTTGCTTTGCTTTGTTTTTTAGGGGAGAGGTAATTGGGTTTACCGTCACACTCTTATTTTAATGGAGGCACTGGGGGTTGAACCCGGGACCCCCTGCATACTAAGCATGCACCCTGCCACCGAGCTGCTTCCCCCCCCCCCCCACGGCTTTTCTTTCTTTGTTCCATTTCTTCACGGAGCCTCTCCACCCTGAGCAGCCGGTCTGATTCTCTCCTCGTGCCCCGCACTCCAGTCCCATCAGGATCTTCTGTCAACGGAACTATTGCAGAAGGGCCCCACGTTGTATCTCTCCCGCCCTCTGGTCCTTTCTTCACTTTTCAGGATAAATGTTTAATGCTCATCTGGCCAAGACATTGACTCCCTTTCCAAAAGGTCTCTCTGACTTCCTAGGCTTCCCTGATCCGTCTCTGCCTTGCTCTCTTCCATCATTTCATTCAATCCCCCAAACCGTCCTGTGAAAGAAATTAGTACCACCCTTTATGTTTCTCTTTACCTGAAAACCAGGGCTGACAATTAAACTAAAAGCAGAGTCTCAAATAAAAGCAGAGTCTCACTGACCCATTTTCTGCTGTAACGTTGTGAGCAGCTCTTCAGCGGAAACAGCCCTCAGCAGGAAATCCCTTTGTCACCAACCTTAAACCCGCCGCCCCCACATGCTACTCCTCTCCCTGAGCACAGCCTTCAGATCTTTGGATCGCACAATACCTTGCCTAACTTGGGTTTTTCCTTTGATCTTCTGTAGATCAAAGCAGTAGAAACGGAGAATAAGTCACGAACAGATGGCCACTCTCTTCCCCAGCGTCCCCTTCAGCAACCTCATCAAGAGACAGGCGTGCACAGAAGGTGTGCACAAGCCAGCGTCTGACGAGAGACGGCGGGGAGCCGGCAAGCCTGCACGCGGTGGGGGTGGCGATGGCTCTGACCTCCTGTCTCACTGATCAACTCAGATCACTTCCCCTTTTCCCTTTAAGAACTTTCACAGCTGAGCAGAATCTTTGCCGATGGTTTTTGGGGGTCACTGAGTCCACCATCTCCCCGGACCGCCGGCGTTCTGATTAAAAGCAACTTTCTTTTCCACCAACATTTCCCTCTATTGAGTATGGATTTTTTGAGCCGCAGGCAGCCAGACCCGAGTTCGGTAACAATATAATACCTTTCAGGTTTATCTGATCACTAGTGTCTTCATCAAATCGTCATTTTTACCCTCAGAATGAAATGGAATGTTCAACAGATTTGAATCCAACCACTTTGTTTATATTTTTGCTCAGAGACACATCAGTGTTTTCCAATTTTATTATAAACCTTAATAAAATAAAACATAATGGCCCAGTAAGAAAACATACCCCCTAAAAGTAAACTTTACTATGTACAAAAAAAAAAGTTAATATCAGAGTTGCATTCATTTGGAAATGAATTACAGAAAATCATCCCTAAAAAGCATATAAAAGTCAGGGTAGATTTTAACAAAATGTTTGCCTTTTTGTACATTTATTCTAGCCTGCAACGTTTTAAAAGACTCTTCATTTAAAAGTGTTACCTTTTAAGAAATATTTTAGAACATGAAGCAATGTCAAAATTTGCTAATTAAACCAACATTTCTTTCACTGTTTATTACTTCTCCATAATAATAAATTATTACTATATCTTGGATAAACGAACATGCTCCTTTGTTTGAAGTTTTAGCCTCTTGTTTTTCAAATGATAAAACATCCATTTTAACTGTGATTTATATGAATGTGAATGGTCATTCCCAGATTCACGAAATGTAACACAGTATCATCTGCTCTGGGAAAATGCTCATTAAAAGTTTTTATTTTTTAGAAACTTGGTTGGATGCTTGCTCACTTTTGGTTTTGGGGGAAAAAATGTCTTGCCCTTTGCTGTACAAGAGACCATGAAGTCTGTTACAATATGTCATTTAATGTAGCATCAAGCTTCCTATAATACTGATGGTTCTCTTCCCATATGAGATGGGAAACTATGAGACAACAGATAGGAAACAGCAAATAGCTCTTTTGTGGCTTACGCATTTTCCTCACAGGTCCTCAAACAACTCTTTTATACCACGTGTTAAAATAGGTCACAGCATTTATCACAATGTGGGTAGTTTCTCTTAAGTGTCTGCTTTGCACACTCTGACACTCATTACATTTTGTCGTCTGCTATTCCTTGTTCCAGTGCTGGTGGTGACCCACTAACTTATCCAGCCCCACAGTGTGACAAACACGACTTAAAACAATTCTTCGTGCCAACAGCTTGAGCTCAACATTTCTTAATTTTAAAATTGTTTACTTAAAGAACGTTTGTGTGTGCCCCTCCCAAAGGTCTATTCCATGGTTCCTAAAACTCCATTGCAGGTAAAAATATATATTGTTATAAAGAGCTGAAGGAACTTTTCAACCAACGTCAGAGTCATTCTTCTTCTTAGACTATTCTGCACCTCTTGAACATTTCTAAACTAAATTAAAACTACAAAACTCAGTCTTCAAGAACAACGTTACTATCTTGCAATGTAAAGCTGATCTGTGTTGAGTACTCAAATTAGCTTATCTAATACTCACATGTTAGAATTCAAAAAGGAGCCATTTATCCACTTCCAGTTCTTCTCTGATAGCGTAAAATTTAATCCAATCCAGAACAGAACTCCTTTGTCTATCATACTTTGTATGAGTCTCTAAATAATGAAACAGGAGAAAGAACTGAATATTGAATCTGTTTATCTGTTCATGGTTTGCATTTTTCACTCATCTTATAAAACCCAGTTCAAGTATCACCGCCCTTATGAAGCCTATCCTATCTCCTCATCGGAGTTAATTATTCCTTCTTTGTGATATTTCTTTCCCTATATTTATACTGTTGTAATTCATTAAGTTATATTTAATTATTTGCTTACAGGTCTGTGTAGTCTCTCAGACTGTGAGCTTCTTGAAGTCAAAGTTACTACTTCCATCTGCACAGACCCCTTCGGCTAAAGCACCAAGTCTTGATATGGTTACAAGAAAGTGCTAAGTCGTACTGAAGTATTTGACTTAATTATTTACCAATTCTTCTTGATCTTGGATTAGCAGCAGACTGGACTCTTTTGTGAAACAGTCGGCTAGACTGTCATTCCAGGGTTTGGAACTGTGATAAAAAAACAGGCATTTATCTCGGAGTGGACGCCAATTTGTTGGACACTTTAACAGAGGTGGTCTCGCTTGTAAAGTAAGAAAGAGAAAGAAGAAATAAATGACTGTTATATTTCTAACCTGTCAGCACACCGCTATGACTAATCACACATGCGCAAGTCATTAGAAAGGCAGGGAAGTCTTTGATCATCACTGTGAGAATTAATAAATTTACTATAATTTTGAGAGTTTTGAGACCTATTGTTCATTCTGGTACTAAGGTTTAGAAATTGGTGACCAGTAAAAACACTGAAAGACAGAATAACTTGTTCCAATCCACACAATCAGAGGCTGGTGGAATCAAAACACTATTTCTGAGTTTCCTTAAATTCATCATCAGTGCTTCTTGCAGAGACAACAATATCAAACTTATATAAAAAATATCTACTTTAAATGACATGCAAAATGAAAAGCAAATAGTAATTCAATGCACTAATTTAAATTAAAAAATCATGGAGAAAAAAATCATAATAAAAGTCCTAATTGCTAGATTATATATTTGCCTATTAATGTGATCTACTGGTTAGCATTTTCTGGAAGGAATTTTCAGCTTTCTTAAAATTTCTGTTCTGTAAGGATGTGTATAATGAATGAACACATTCTGCTACCGTCACTCAACAACAGTGTCTTTATTAACACACACTACTTAGTAAGTGTGAGAACAACACCTTAATGATTGATATGATAAATATTAAAGAATTTATTCTATGTTTTTGTTCCATCGATTCACTTTGGACCAAAGTTGGCTGTTTGTCATGTTCATTAAAATCACCAGACATTCCATCTAAATGCATATTTTACTTTTTAGCTTGTTTTTGCCTATTAGTTATTGAATATCCTAGCAGCAGTCTCTCCTAAGACAGATGCTTTGGTGCTTAAGGTGACAGGCTGTACAGTTAGACCACCTAAGGACAGTCCCCAGTGTCACCACTTAGGGCTTGTGTGACCCTGAGTGAGTTGCTGAACCTTTCCACGCCTCACTTTTGTCAAACGTAAAATCAGTGATAACACTGTATTAACGTACAGGTTGTTATGAGCCTTAACTAAGGCAGTGCGGGATACGTACAAATTTTAGTGGTTATTCTTAAGAAATTCAAGCCATGAAACATACCTGTTGTTTCATTCCTGCTCTCTTGAACAATCACACTGCTTCTTTCTATTGAGGACTTTTGTCTTAAGAACATCACTAGTAAATAAGGAGAAACCATGAAGATTAAAGCTGAAACATGTGGTGAAATGGATGTGTTGTATTTCTCACTTCAGGAAAGTGAACACGCGCAGATACTGAGTTACCTGTCATCGACTAGAAAAGTAAACTCAGAGGTGTTACTTGAACTCTTAAGTTGTCTACCCTTCTGCCTGAACTTTCCATCGTCAAAAGGAGCATAATTGTGGCTCTCCCATGGGAGAGACTGCCTAAGACAATCTGGAATTTTACAGGCACTTAAGAAACTGTAAATAATTGGAAATTGGTGTTTTCTTTGTTATTGTCACATCTTACCATCATTGTGATTTTTTTAAAGCTCTTGAAGTACATGCGAAATACAAATCCTCCATAAAGACCATCGAAACAGGAAGAGAAATGTAAAAAGTTCGAGTTTGCAAAGTAGGTTCGGGCGGAGCACTCTTAGAAGCATTGTTTTGTAACTGGTTTTATCTCGCTGGTCTTCCACTAGGTTGGGGGTGGCCAAATTACGTGAACATACTTTCATATTTATAGTAGAAGTGGAATAATATGTAGGGCAAGGAATGCATGATCTTGCATCACTTACCTGAAACACTCAGCCCGATCACAGTCAGGATGAGAAGAAGCATCCCCACACAAGAAAGTTGCAGAGCCAGTTTATGCCAAGATGAACCCTGGCAAGCATCTGTGACATTACGAAAATATACTTGATTAACTCCATTGAGTTCATCTGGTGCAAAAAGCAAAGGTGGCTCGGATCGCATGAGAACAGTTAGATTCAGGCTGAGGACAGGGGCAGGAGAGAATATTTATCAGCCATCTTCTAGAGGAGGGTCCCGCAGGATGGAATCTCAGATCCAACTGAGAGTCTGCCCATCAATGAAATAAAAATATTTACTCCTGTCTTGTGTACAAAGGATGGGTCTAAGAGTCAAGTGAGATCGATGGGAAGATGTTTTGAAAATTGTCAACTGCTCTACAAAAATGAAGCAGATGCCCTGTTGTAAGAAGTCAGTCCAGGAATTTTGTCTAAAAAAGATGGCCTTCATTCCTCCAAGATATTTTTTATTTTTTGAGGCTCTATTTTGTGCCAGGCAACATTTTCAGTACTGGTGATATAAGACAATTCTACTCTTGGACATGAAGCTCTCTGCTTTACTGTTGCGTAAAACAATCATCTCCAACTTGGACCAAATGTATGGAATCCAAGGAAGAGTTATTTTATGAGTTTGCATATTATTTTCAGTATTTCAGTGAGGACAACATAACATGAACTTGTGTCTACAATACTGCATGGTCTAAAAACTGGCAAATATCTTTATTTTCCCTGTAATCATATCAATAACAATGTGCTGTGTATTTCATGTTCATCAAAAGTTGTGATGATATTAATTAAAGTAGGATCGCAAATTAATCATTACTTTATCTATGTATTTTTGCTTCCAGACCTCTTTTTTAAACTTTTTTTATTTTTTAACATTTTTTATTGAGTTATAGTCATTTTACAATGTTGTGTCAAATTCCAGTGTAGAGCACAATTTTTCAATTATACATGAACATACATATATATTCATTGTCGCATTTTTTTTTTTGCTGTGAGCTACCACAAGATCTTGTATATATTTCTCTGTGCTATACGGTATAATCTTGTTTATCTAGTTTACATTTTGAAATCCCAACCTGTGCCTTCCTACCCCCCAGCCCCCTTGGCAACCACAAGTTTGTATTCTATGCCTATGAGCCAGACCTCTTTAAAAACATGGAATTCACAGGGAAACATAATCAAAGAGAGGCTTATTAACACAAAAAATTCTTGGGAAACACTGAGCTACAGCTTCCAAAATTAAATCAGCTCTGACAATTCACACTTCAGTAATTCTACCTGAAATTGTGCTTAGACAACCTGTATAAGTGACTTAATTATAAGATCCCTTTTATTCTCACTTGGTTTATAGTATGTTAGCTATATATAAATTATTTTCTAAATTGTGTTATTAGAGCCAAGAGCCTTGGCAAGTAAAGATTTTCTAACTTATCTGCAGATATCTATTTATTTATATTATCTATTCCTTTTTACATTTTTCTAATATTCCTCAATTAAAAGAACACTTGCTTTGGGGGAGGGTATAGCTCAGTGGTAGCCTGCACACTCAGCATGCACGAGGCCCTGGGCTCAATTCCCAGGGCCTCCAAAGAAGTAAGTAAGTAAGTAAATAAATAAATAAACAAACAAACCTAGTTACCCCCCCCCAAAAGAACACTTGCTTTGAGTCACCTGTTAAAAATTTTAGTGTCAGAAATGTTAAAATGCTGTCTTAAATGTTCCAGAGTCCTACAGGCCCATTTCTACTTTAACTTTTTATACTCTCCCTGGTGATTAAGTTGTGTGACCCAGTTTTCAGACGGCTTGTAATGGTCTCTTCCCTGAGGACACTGACTTTCAGGGAAGAGTTAGTTCTTTCTAAAATGTCCCTGGAGAGACGGAATTTAGGAGAGCTAAGGGAGATCAAAGACTAAGGGAGGAAACAGATAATAGATTAGATCCAAGGGAGTGACAAGTGGATTATTGCCTGAAGGGGAGAGATAAATAAGGGTAGGCACCTAGAGGAGACTCCAAGGCTTACGTCGGAAATCGGGAGAACAGGACTCGAGAATACTGACCTAGAACCTCTAACGGGAGCCAGTGTGACGCGCAGCGGCTAAACGCAGTGAGCCCACGGCTAGTCCTGGGCCGTCTCCCCTTACACTTGCATGTATTATGTTACCTTGCTGTCTCCTTTCTTCCTCATCCTTTCCGCCCTTGAAACTTTGTGAAGTGGAGAAGGCTCCATACAGTCACGACGTTAACGTTTATCACTGAGGAACAGCAGGGGTTAAGAACGGAGGCTCTCAGATGGAGCGGGTTTGTGTTTGAGCACGATGCTTTGGGCAATGTAACCTTCATAAACTACCAATTTCCTCAGCTGTGAATAGATTCTATGCCATACAATTTTGGAAAGGATTACGTGAAATAGTTCTTCTAGACATGGTGTCTGGTACATAGTAACTGTTCAGCTAAAATGGAAAGAACTGAGTGGAGGGTCCTGTGCTTGGGAGCTCTGCTTTCCTGTGCTAAGACTGTCTGCTGCTCTGTGCGAGATTAGAGTTAATGGAGTTACAATACCAAATTGAAAAAGACAAGTAAACTTTAGTTATCTGGAAATGCTCATTTAGGGCTATTTTTGTTTCGATATAAACAGTATGCTAAGTCATCTTGCCCCATTGCTCTGAAGATTTCCGTGGCTTTCTGTCAAGCAGAACTGAGTTATATGCCTATAAATCAGTCTACAAATCCCTGTTTAACCTGTTTCAGTTGCTTCTCTAACTTCATCTCCTACTGGTTTCCATAAGACGTGCTCTGCCTTTTCACATTAACCTTCATGCTCCCCCTGCAATATGCCAGGCAAGTTCTCATCTCAGGGAGCTGGCATTTGCTAGTCCAACTTGTAAAGATCTCTTCTTCCAGAAAGCATACCTTTGTCCCTTAATTCTTTCAGATCTTGACTCAACTGTCATCTTGTCAGGCAGACCTTCTATGATTATTCTATTCGATATGGTACCCTTGCCAGAAGTAACTCTCAATTCCATTAAAAACAAAAAGTTCTCCATTGCATTGAATATCATCTAATCTTTTTATATATACTACTTAGTTACTAGCTTTCGCGTAGTCTTCCTGGGCATATAACATAAACTCAGTAAAGGAAAAGATTTTTTTTCCCTCTACTTTGTTCACTGCTGTATCCTCAGGGTTGGCATGTGCCTGGAACGGAACTGGAGCGCATTTTCAGATGAACAAGCAAACTCTAGAGGCATTTTGTTGACTTTATCTACTTTTCTAAGAGACCAAACCCTTGGCCATAAAGTAGGTCACAACTCACATCTCTGCCTGGCTTTCCTGATCGCCCTTGATACGGTCAGCATTCTGCACGGCTTCCACAGCCTGAACAGGTTAGCAGGTTTGCAGTAAGTGCAATACCAGATCAGTGTGCGGAGGAAGCGCGTCACCTGCCATTTCAGTAAACAAAGGGTGTTGCAGCCATAAAGCCATCAACCACTGCAACTGCATACAATGGGGCACTCGGAGGGGAATTCAGGATGGAGAAGAACAGGACACTGGCCCTGGATAGTTATATGTGTATCAAAGGAATGATTTCAGTAAACCCAGTCTCTTGCGTCTTCCCATACATAGACCAGCCCTCAAACCATTAACTTGAGATGTCTGTTTTTGTGATTAGCTGTGATCTTTTGATTTTGACTACAGGTGGTTTTTTTTTTATCCCCAGCCAAAACTCCTATGTATCCTGTTACTCCCTGATCTCTTGGGAACAGTTTCTCAGAGGTATCTGAGAGGTTGCCTGCCTCGGCTATTGTCAGTAAGGCCATCAGATAACATCATTCTCAACTTTTCAGTGATGCATATTTTTTCAGTCGACTTCTGTTTTATTAATCACACATTTTGCTCTGAATTTTTATTCTGCCATTTCTTTCAGATTTACTTTTGGGATGATGTTTTCTGGAATAACGATTATCATAAGAATAGACACATTTTTCTGGACCCATTGATTTGGGATCACAGATCATGGCTTTTGAGGAAAATCTGGCTGTTTTTCTCTGTGTTCATTCTCCGACGTCTCCTTTCAACCTCATCTTTGCTTCTCCCCACTGAGCTAGATCTGAATAAAGAAAAGAAAGTCTTTCTCTTTCCTATCAAAAAACAACTGAGGCTTCATCAAACCCTCAGTGCAGTTACCAAAATTCTCCAATTTCCTTTACCCTCCAGAGGAAGGGTATCTGAAAATACCTGATAAGTCTAAGACTCTGCAACTCTCAATTTAGAACGTCGATAATTTAATACTTTCAAATTATATCAAAGCATCCTAAAAAGATACAATCCACTTGCTAAGGACAATACAGAATGAATATCAGTTTGGATAAAAATGTTCTATTACTGATGTTAGCAAATTTGGTTAGACTTCAGAAGGTAACACTATGTCATGATAATTTTATACATTTTTTTCCTGCCTACATTCTGGTTTCTTTTAATCCTTTCCCAGGCCATGGACTCCATCATCTGTTACCTCACATTAGAAATCCCCATTCATTTTACTCAGAATGCTAACTTCTCTGACACACAGAAAAGCGCCAACTTCAACAGGTATCAAACCGGTTTATCGGTGAAATTTTCCTGTGTCTTGTGGCTTATCTCCTTCTAAACAGTGACACTTTTCAATTTAAAAATGATCAGATTGTGATTATATTCAAGTCTTTGATCTTGAATATAATTTTCTTCCAGAACATTTTTTTTCCCTTCTGTCTGGAGAGTGGAGAATGTTAACCATTAAGCATACACGTTGTATTCTGAAAGAAATGCTACGAATGCAAATACAGTGGAACTTCATCACCGTATTTCACAGAGGGATTTGAAGTAAGGTAGGTTACTATTACAGCAAGGTAGTAACGCGTCTCTAAAAACATTCCTTTGCTCGTGCATGTAAAATATTTCCTCGAGATTTTTTAAACAAGGCTCACTAATAGTGCTGTCCACTTCTCACACTGATACATGATAAAAGAGAAATCTAGGCGGTCTGTGCTTTTTTCCTACAGGGGTGATCACCTGCAGACAAACCACGCAATACCTACTTAATATTAACATCGGACTGCTGATCATTTTCAAAGCCCCGATTTAAAGCCATAAATTTAAGAGGAAAATCTAACCCTGGAAGATATACAAATGCCAAAAGGAAAACTAAAAACACTTACTCTGAGGAAGAGATGGGGGTGATGAATGTTCAAGACCAGTATCCCTGGTTAAGTTTAAATCAGCATATGTCACTTGTCCATCCATCGCAAATAGAAGAATGTGGCACTAAACTTGTGTGAAAGGAAAAACTCCAAGTTCTATGAGGCAAGAGCAGCAAAAGGAAGTGCCCAGTCTTGAAAAGTTTTTGTCTCTCATATGTTACCACCTACCCACTCACACTTCTAGCTGTGGGTTTTACTTTTAAATTACTGGGTGTCCATTATACTTAGACAGGAAGTGCCTACTCTTCTTAATTAATTGGTCTGTTGTTTGAGAAAATTTTGGGAAGGTTTGTTGGTGGTCTCTGTCACCATCCTTCTTGAGTACCTCTCTGAGTGCCAGGACCAGCGTGAGGTAAATGAGGTACTCATCCAGGGTGTACATTTAAGAAGTCTTCCAAAACTCAGGGATCAAGATGAATAATATTTAATGCAACCCTGTAAAAAATAAACACTAATACAAAAACCTGCAGGATGCCTTTCAAAAGCTCTAAAATCTTCCTGCAATATTTGTGCTCCAAAAAAGTTGCAAGATATGGAAAATAGACTTGTAAATGTGGACAAGGCTGCTAAACAGAGAAAGCAAAGAATTGAAGATAAATAGACTACTCTTAGCTTAAAATAATGCCTTTCGTGCACTGGACTTTAATTTCAAGTTATGAAGCATGACCGTGACTATTAGGGATTGGTTAAAGAAAAATTAACATGAATTCTCCTGAAATTCTTCCAAAAACCTGGAGGATGGAATGCTTCCAAGCTCTATGAGATCAGCATTATCCTGATATCAAAGGCAGACAAAGACACTGCAAGAAAACTATAGACCAACTGTCCTGATGAATCTTGATACAAAAATTTTCAACAAAATACTAATAAACTGAACTCACCAGAACATTGAAAAGATTTTACATCATGACCAAATGGATTTATTCCTGGAATAGATGGATTGTTTAACAGGAAAATCCACCAATGTAATACATCGCATTAATAGAATGAAAGACAAAAGCCACATGATTATCTCAGCTGATGGAGAAAAAAACACTTGACAAAACTGAACACCCTTTCATGATAGGAACACTCAAAACAAACTAGGAATGGAAGGAAACTATCTTTAATATAATAAAAAACATTTATGAAAAGCCCACAGCTAATAGCATAATCAATGGTGAAAGACTGAAAGCTTTTCCTCTGAGGCCAAGAACAAGACAAGGATACCTGCTCTCACTACTTCTATTCAGCATGGCATCGGAAGTCCTAGCCAAATCCTGTAGAAAGAAAAAGAGATAAAGTCATTTAAGTTGGGAAAAAAATGCAAAATTACCTCTGTTCAGAGATGACATAATCTTGTATGTAGAAAACACTAAAGACTCCACACACATACACAAAACTAGACTAACCAAGGAATTTGGCTAAGTTTCAAAATACAAAGTCAATACACAGAAGTCAGCTGCATTTTTAGACACTAACAATAAGCTGGAAAGGAAATGAAGAAATTAATTCATTTGCATAGCATCAAAAAGGATAAAATACTTAGGAATAAACCCAATTAAGAAAGTGAAAGGCTTGTACACTGAAAACTGCAAAAATTTGCTGAAAGAAATTAAGGAAAATATAAATAAATGAAGAAGCATCCCATTTTCATTGATTGGGAGACTTAATATTGTTAAGATATGCATACTAGCACTGCCATATGGCCCAACAATTCCACTCAAAAAAAAAAAAAGAAAAATACTCATTCAAAAAGATAGATGCACGCCAATGTTTATAGCAGCATTAGTTACAAATGCCAAGATATGGAAGCAACCTAAGTGTGTATCAATAGATAAATGAATAAAGAAGATGTGATATACATACAAACATATATGTATATAATATAGAGATAGATAGATATACACCCAATGGAACACTACTCAGCCATAAAAAAGAATGACATTTTGCCATTTGCAGCAACATGAATGGACTTGGAAGGTATTATGCTAAATGAAATAAATCAGACAGAGAAAGACAAACACTGTATGATATCACTTGTATGTGGAATCTAAAAAGTAAAACAAACTAGTGAATATAACAAAAAAAGAAACAGACTCACAGATATAGAGAACAGCTAGTGGTTACCAATGGGGTGAGGGAAGGGGGGAAGGACAAGATAGAGATAGGGGATTAAGAGGTACAAACTACTGTGTATAAAATAAATAAGCTACAGAGATACATTGTACAGCACAGGGAACATGGCCAATATTTTATAACAATTATAAACGGAGTATAACCTTTAAAAATTGTGAATCACTATGTTGTATACCTGAAACTTATATAATATTTACATTAACTATCCTCAATTTAAAAAAAGAAATGTGCTAGGAGTGAGGGTACAGCTCAGTGGTAGAGCATATGCTTAGCATGCACGAGGTCCTGGGTTCAATCACCAGTATCTCCATTAAGAACAAATAAAAACCTCACTACCCCCACATCCCTCCCACACAAAAAACCTTAAGAAAAGAGGAAAGAAAGAGATGTGCATACTAGCCAAAGTGATCTGCAGATTCATCGCAACTCCTATTAAAATCCCAATGGCATTTTTTTTTCAGAAATAGAGAAAAATTCTCTAGGGAACCTCAACTAGACAAAACAATTTTGAAAAGAAAAGAAAGTTGGAGGACTCAACTTTCTGATTTCAAAACATACTGCAAAGTGCAGTAATCAAAACAGTGTAGTGCTGGCATAAAAACAGACAAATAGACCAATGAAATCGAATAGAGAGCCCAGAAATAAACCTCCATGTACATGGCTATGTGATCTTTAGTGGCAGCGCCAAGACTCCTTAGTGTGTAATTGACAGTCTCTTCAACAAAGGATGTTGGGAAAACTAGATATCTACATGCCAAATAATAAAGTTGGACACTTATCTTACACTATAGACAAAAATTAAGTCAAAATGGCTTACAGACCTAAATGTAAGACCTGTAAGTATAAAACTCTTGGAAGAAAACATATAGGAAGAGCTTCATGATGATGGATTTGGCAATGATTTCTTTGATACAATACCGGAAACACAGGCAACACAAGCAAAAATGGACAAATGGAACAGCACAAGCTTAAAAAATTTTGTGCATAAGAGAACACAATCAACAGAGTGAAAAGGCAAGCTACAAAATGGGAGAAAATATTTGCAAATCATATATCTGATAAGGGGCTAGTATCCAGAATATATAAAGAACTTCCTCCCCTTGAAACATGATTGTTTTCTAATGCCAGAGACTAACCATAACAGAGAACAAACTTGACTCTATATTGGATCTATTCCTTTAGCTCTAATCCTTGTGCTGAGTCATGCTGTCTCTGCACCTTTGTAAAATAATAAAGTCTGAAAGATACATAATAGCCTTTTTTCAAGGCTCTACCTCCCAGGCTTGACCTTTACTTTTCATTTACATAGAGATTAAAAGGTGCAAAACAGAAAATAACATTTGTCTGTTGGAGTTTACAGGAACGTCATAACCAGACCTTCACTGACAGTTGCAAGAACAAAGAATTGTCATGTTGCCTCTGGGGTCTGGCCAGCACAAAGAAGTCTGCAACAAACAGTCACACCGCCTCCGCTTTTTGCATAAAAGAAATCTAAATTCCAATTCAGGTAAGATGGTTCTTGAGACACTAGTCTGCCATCTTCTCAGTCTGCTGGCTTTCCAGATAAAGTTATTATTTCTTTCCCCAACATCTCGTCTCTTATTTGTTGGCTTGTTGTGCAGTGAGCAGGACAGCCTTGGACTTGGTAACATCTTACATGGATATACACTAAGGAATCGATGAATGTGTGATGGATTTATCGTGCTTATCCCACGCTTCATCTTTGTGCTGGGGAGCAGATCACACTGCAAAAATGAAAGGCTTCTACACCCAGCTGAGCCAACTGATTAATACAAGACCGAATACAAACCCTTCCAAACAGTAAATGTACTTTCTCTAGCTTATTCCACACTGGATTATACCAATATTCAGAACATTTTCAACAATATGATAAAAAGAGATACTGCACAGAGGTTTTTGTGTGTGTGTTTAACGTTCAGAAATTTCCCCTGCAAACAAAATTAGGTCAGTTTCCTTTATGCACCGGAAATACTTTCCACAAATAGCTCTCTAGAAACATTCAATTATTTGCACGATGCGTCAGCTAGTGGTGGGCAGTCCTATCCAGCATTTGCCTGAAGTTCAGTCACTAAAATGCATATCGATATTGTTAAAACTGGCTTTTATAGCCTAAGACTTGGGTCTATTTTTTACAGTAGACCAATTCTCCTACTGTTTTTGTATTATTAAATATAGAGGATTTAGGTGGAAGATAAGGCAGCTGCTAGAAATCAAATTCTCAAAGTCCTTTTGCAAAGTGACATGATTACTCCAATACAGTCATTCAGTCTGTGTTCATAAAACATCTGCTATGTTACACTCCATATTGGGAGGGTCATGTAAGTAAAATTTAAATATGAAATACATATACACAATGCAAACTTAGCAACAAAAAAAAAATGTAAAGTACAAGCTAGGTCTTCAGAAAAGTCATAAAAGAGTGGGGGAAATTTCCAGGTAATGTGTGGGTGGCTGCAGTGTTGTGAATAATGGTGAAGATAAGATAATTTATCTAAAGCAAAAAACCCCCCAAACAACAAAAAGTCTTACACTAAGAGGCCAAGAGACTTGAGTTTTGAATGCCATGCAAAGTAGAAAATTACATAAAATAATTCTCTGTGTCCTTAGTCAATAAACATGTAGTAAATACTTAGTAATTTTAGTAAATACATAAAAAACATGCATCCAAGTTATCTGTACTAACCCCAGATTAGATGCTACCTCTGGGTGAGAAGAAAGAAGGAAAGGGCTTTAGTTGTAATTGTAAATTTTATTTGTTCTTTTTTAAGCTTGATATGAAGAAAATACGGAGAAAAGTGTTAATATATGTTACATGCATGAGCCACATCATTTCGAATCCCTTTGTTTTGTTTTCATTGTAAGTCTCAAATACGCTCTTGGCCATAATTTTATGTTCAATAGCATTTTGCTTACATGCATTTCATAATCAGCAATTTTTATTTTATACAAATATCAACTTCAACTAATGTGACTTTATCCCATTTTTTGTGTATATATATATATTTATTGAAGTATA